TCAGAATTGTAGTTATCTTCACACAGAACTGATTATTTTTTTAATGAAGATTATATCCTTATCCTCCCAACAACACCTTGAGATATCTGAACTGGTACTTTTCCATTGGCCCAAGAACACACACTTACCTTCACTGTTGAGTAGTCATCCAAAATTTGATCAGCTTAGCCTTTAAGTCATTTTCACATAAGGGACATACAGTGTTTTCAAAGCATCATCCAGCCATTGTTAAAAGGATAGAAAGCTGGTTTGCATTACTGTAATTTTGGCACAACAATGACTAGATGGCTTTAGAAGGCACTATAAATTGCTAGTGTGGAAATGGTATCTTGACTTCACATTCCACAAAGGTTTTGGGATAGCACAACCCAGCATTTCCAGAAAACATGAATTTCTAGTGGGAATTATACCCCAATGCTAGACACACTCCAGGATAGTCTAGTGCAGTATTTCCCAACTGTGTTTGCAAGTCCCAGAATTCTCAGCAAAGCCACTGTGGGAATGCTGGTAGTTGAGATCCACATTAGAGTTTCCTAACTTGTGCAACCTTCCAGATAATCTAGTGTCCTGATTATGTGCCAGCAAGTCATTTTTGACTCCTAGCGACCATATAGATACATTTCCTCCATGACAATCTATCCCTAACCTGTTCTTTCAAGTCTCCCAATGGTGCACTCATCATCATTGTAACTAAGTCCATCCACCTTGCTGCTGGCTGTCCTCTTCTTCTCTTTCCTTCCACCTTTCCCAGCATTAGAGCCTTTTCCTGGCATATATATAAGACTAGAGAAATTAATTTTTGCTAATGTGATGCTGTGTCACTATTGTGATACTGTGTCACTATTGCAGTGTTTCTCAACCTTGTCAACTTTAAGAAGTGTGGATTTCATTGTGAAGTCCACACATCTTAAAGTTGACAAGGTTGAGAAACACTGCACTACTGAATCTTTCGGGCCTCGTTTGGTGAAAGAAAGAGAACATCCAATGCAGCATGGATGCTCACTTAGCAATGGCAAAAGAGCTCCCGATCTCCCATGGTCTGACAGCGACCATCAGCAGAGCCAGAAATAACAATGGAGACACGCTTGCTAGTTCTACCTCTAACAGAAATCATGGAGGAAAAGACAGGAAATGAGGGGAATGCAAAGCTTCTCTGGGTATTTAAAGGAGACAAACGAAGAACAAAATACTGCACAGAAGGAGAAGGTGAAAAAGCTCCTGTGTGAATTAATCCCCTCCTTTCTAAGAGCTGAGGCCTACAGACTTGTGAAGGCTCACAGAAAAAGAATGTGAAAATTGGAAGAAGAATTTGGGAGGGGGAAGCATTTTTCTCCTAATATTCCTCTTTTTTGTGGGCTTTCACGTCTTTAGGAACAATGTACAGGAAGAGAGGGACTTGTGTGCAATTTTCAGTCCACAAATTGGGCTAACTTGGGGTGTCATGGATTTTGATATAAGGGTTCCACTTGCTACTCAGAATGAGGAAGCAAAATGTTTTTGGCCAGGCCTGGGACACAACCAAGCCAGCTCCCAAGCCTTCAAGTGAAAAATAGGATTAGCCACAAAAAATGACTGTTTGAACCTTATGGGAAAGATAATAAGTGTAAAAGCTTTTGGAGACTCTATAAAGTAGAGTTCAAGAAGTCTGGGATGCAAGCAACTTAGAAGATGGTTGTAAACATTTTTTAAAACTGAGTAAGCCTATTTGAGCAAGGAGAGAGAGACAGAGCAAACCCAAACATGGGTTTTGAGAGATGACTAAACCCATGGATCTAGCCATCTACCCAAACCATCTATCTGTTGGCCACTTCGGCATAGCATGTAGCCTTTGTAGGGTCTAGAGAATAAATTCAGTGCTGGAAATTTCTAGCCTTTCTAAATGGAAATATTTTTGTTGTGTGGTTAAACAAGGTGAGCAATCTATCAGTAGTACTGATAGAAGTAACCTTAAGTCATGAAAGCATGATGAAAATTGCATATCGTTAGCTTTCACAAGTGTTTTGTTACCAAAGAATGACTTCAGTGTGTTATTTATCAGAAAATACTGTCCACTGAGAGTATGAAGGCAAAGTTCCATCATTGTTTTATTGGCTATATAGATTAAAACGTAATTTTTAAAAGAAGGGGTACATTTAGTAGTCGCCCCACCATAACCCCAATGACAACATTCATGTTTTCCACAGGATTGACACACATTTCAATTTGTGAGCAGCATCACAAAGTTTGAGACACTCTGCTATAAAGGGATTTTAAAATTATAATGTTCCCCTAAAGAAGGAGTTTGTTCAAAAGCCAGCCTTGGAATTCACTGAATGCGGCTGCCCTTAAAATCATTCACTAAGCAGCATTAGAGCATTAGCAATTACACCCTTATTGGCTGTGAAAATTTCACACTGTTGAACATCCCTCTCTTCCCACTGTTAACAAGCAATTTCTTATCTCTAAGGCTTCAATAGAGCAATTACAAACAGGCTAACCATTGCTGGATTACTCGGTCACTGAAACATTCCAGCCAAAGACCAGCTGTAATCCAACTGAATGTCACACTCAAGTAAACAGCATAAAATCCATCATCACTAACTTGTGCAAAAGCATATTCTGTTACTAGAAGGGCTAGTATGTTCCCAGTAACATCCGACACCTTGGCAAGGAGAAAAATTATACTGTATGAACGGCTGTAAATTTCAAAAAGCATGCAATGCAAACTCTTCTTACTGAATATTTTTAATGGAGGACAATATTAAACATTTAGATATTCTGAACTGCCCAACAGCTGAATACAGCTTGCAAAACTCCTAATGCCGTGACGAGAGCTCACACACAATCCTTGTACTTTCCCACTCCCTGAGCAGTTGTAAGAGTTGGTAGTCTCTGCCTTTCAATTAATCCAAAATTAACAGACTAAACTGTGCTTAATTTGAACCACAATTTGCTCCCTCAAGCTAAAGGTTGTTTCAGGAAACAAAATTAGCAACAGGTACAGTTTATGCAGGTGAACAATGGAACCAGACCTCAAAAACACAACTAAAACCTTTCAAATAACTGGCAGCCGCACTATAAGTAGGGGAAATTGTAGAACACCCACGTTCACTAGGGCTGGTTCTCCAAAGCCCAGTTTAACAATACTTGCACATCCGCTCCCTTTCTCTCGTTCAAGTTTTGCACCGCGGCCCTTGTGCCAAGTTTACTAGCCTCCTCGTTTACCAGAAGCACAAAAAAATGCTGGAGCAAGACCAACCGAATCACACGACTTTTTAAGATCCAGGTTAGGAAGACTCAAAAGCCTATGTTTGGAAACTAAAGAAATTTCCAAACATAGGGTGGTTCATTTTGCTAGGAAGTTTTCCAATGTGAAACGGTTAACAGAACAGGGGGGGGGGGGGGGGGGGGGGGGGGGGGGGGGGGGGGGGGGGGGGGGGGGGGGGGGGGGGGGGGGGGGGGGGGGGGGGGGGGGGGGGGGGGGGGGGGGGGGGGGGGGGGGGGGGGGGGGGGGGGGGGGGGGGGGGGGGGGGGGGGGGGGGGGAGGATCCACAGAATTTCCTAAACAGAGAGTCTCATTAATTCAGTAAGTGACAGTTCAACCCTAAAGTTACATCTGCCTTGCTATTGTTATGCAATCAAGAGGCCAATTATCACCCAGAAATTGACCAGCCAGATTGCATACTAGGGCACCCTTAAGACTTTTTCTTTTTTTTCTCTTTTTGCCTCACACGGAGAACAACCCTCTGCAGTCAGTCTGCTACAATCAGAGCACTGCAGCCGTCTTGGACCCCAACAGAAAATCTCAGCATGGATGGCTAAAGATAGATGAGGCAGGTATGACAAGAGATGAGGTTGCTAAGCAAAGATTCCCAGGCACTCACTGGGGGGCCTTGGAGGCCCTTTGCCTGCAAAGTAAGATGCTGGAATCTGCCTCCCCCCAACCCCCAAGGAGTCAATACCGTGCTCCAAAACCTACATGCCATCTAAACGTCAGTCACCGCTCATACGTGGAGGAGCTGCAATTGGTAAAAATTCAGGTAAGCCCACAGAGGCACAGAATACATGCTTTTCTGGGCATCTGATGTGCAGAGACATCTATCAGGAGCCATGCCTGATGGTGCCATGCCTTACAGCTAAACACATTCTGCGGCAACACAGAGCCTTTAAAAGGGGGGGGGGAATGCAAAACTAGACGAAACGCCTCCTTGCATTCAGTGCGATGGGGAGGAAATCATCTTTACCTCCCTCCAAGAAGCAGACCAGAGGTTTCACTGCCTCCCCTCTCCACCTGGACACCCCCAAGATACAAAGGCCTCTTTCTGTTCGATCGACTAGAGAAAAACAGATTAAATTCTGGATGCACCCACTGGCGATGCTAAATCCATGTGTGCCTCTTTCTGGCGACTTCCTTGGAAAGAGCACCGCAGCGGTGCTGTAGGCAAATGTTATTTTTACCTGCTTCCCCACCCCCACCCCCAGCAGACACAAACTCACAAGACATTTGGAGCCCAGGGCAAGTTTAGCAACAAAGATACAGATACAGAGGTGTTGTATCCGGTGGCTTAGCCCTCCTTTAAGTTAAAAGGCCTGCACGCCACTCCCTTCCAACCTGCTCGACCCGGAGCTCCCCTTCCCCTTGCCTACCACGCAGGCCTTCCAGAAGAAGCTCACGTTGCAGGAGGCAGTGAAAGGGTTAACCTCTGCCAATTGACACCGCAAAGGTTACTTCAGGCCCTGAGCAAGACCGGATCCCATCAACTGTGCAGCAAAACCCACCCAAGGGAATCGCTTCTCCATACCTACCCTCCCAGAGCAACCCTCACACAGGACACCCCCGAGGCAGAGCGCATTCCCACATGACCCCCTGACACTTCTTCACCAGCAAAATGGGATCTGCCCCTCTGGGATTTGTCCTGAGCAGAAAACAGCCCTCGCCACCGTGCAAACACACCAGCACAGCCCCAGCACGAAGACAGGCAGAATAAACAGGAAAACACCACGCAGCTCCAATGCCTTACCTTTGCTGCCCAGCCTTCTCTGGCATTCTTTCCACTTGCTTTTTGGGGGGAGGGGGGATTTTCTGCCCTGTTCCCCCTCCTGAAGGAGGTACGTTCCACTGACCAAGCGATGCTCTCTCTTCACTAACACCTGTTTTGGGCAGGTGTGGGGGGGAGATCGAGAATAGAATTATTGTCAGCTGGCTGGAAGAGGAATAGACGGGTCACTCTGGATGGCTGTTAGAGCCGATTCAAAACAAAATCAATGCGGGGGGGGAACACCGGGGGAGGGGTGGAATCTACAGACATAACCACAACAGCCCAGCCTGCTTCATAATGGGAGATCTTGCAGTTTGTGAGCATGCTCCAGCTGGAACCCAGCCTTCGCTGTTATTCTTCGGAATAAAAATAATCCACGCCGCTGAAGCAAAGAAAGGAGGAAGGCGACCGAAAGCCCCCTCCTGACGCTGCTGGATAGCAGGGAATCAATCCTGCCCGGAAGAGCCGCAGCATAATTGGAGCGGCCGGTTGCTCTGCTTTTTTCCCCCTTTTTTAAAAAGAAAAATAACTAATGATTTTAGCTGTCTTGCTTTTTCAGTGGTTTTTCTAGAGATGATAATGACAACAGTAATAAATAATAATAATAATAATAATAAATAATAATAATAATAATAGCAGCAG